CTCCAAATGGTCGCGCTTTTTTCCACAAATAAGCAGATTTGGTTTTCCTGAAGTAAAGCGAGACTAATAGCAATGATGCGAGTTCCAGGGGGGCAGTTCAGCATTGCAGTCTCCTTGGAGCAGGACTTTTATTCGCCTGGTGTTTTGCATTATCACCAAAATCCATCATCAGAGGCTGCCACATTGGACTAAGAGGTGGTGGATAGGCAAGCAAGCATATAGGATGCAGTTACCATGCGCCAACCTTAATTAGCAGTCTACGCACTTACCACTGGTGCGAAGAGTACTTGTTCGTTCAGATCAACTCGTTACTCAGCTAACTCTGCTGATCGATTTTGATTATTGTGACGTTCAGCCGTGCCCTAATGGCATGGCTATTTTTTCTGCCCAGATAAAGTTCCAGCATAGCTAGTTAGTCTACTCAAGCAGCCGGTGGCTCACACGAGAATACCAGCCGCACTGGATTCCATTTAATGAGCAGCGACCATACATCTGTCATTAATCCTTACCACTGTGGCGGCTGCGGGTTCAGTTATCCGTGGCCAGAGTTATTTCTCTGTTTTTCCGTTCCGTAAATGCTGTGGCTCCAATTGTGTCCAGATAGTTTTCAGTAGACCAACTCAGTATATCGAGACATTGAATTCTTTACAGAAACACATAACATAATATGCTACTACCATTTGATTCCCTGTTAATGGGCCTATGCCTTGAAAATTTAGTAGCTATACAGCCTTCAGCGTTACTTCATTATATCATCGATATAATTTTTAATCAACTACGGGCCGCAGAATTATGACTGAAGTAGTTGGCGGTTTACGTGATTCTCACCTCTCGCAGCGTCGGACCTTAAAATGTGGTCAGATCTCGGTGACTGAGCAGCAAAACGAGAGCCGACTTCATTTCTCCTTACTGTTGCTGTATGTTCGAACATCCGCGTTTAGAATTACCTTCTGGTTTTTCTGAAGTAGTTGCCTTACCTACAATTGCACCAGATTTGCTAAACGTTTACAAACTTTTAGCGCTAAGGCTTTGGGCTTTTCGGCCTTATTTTCTGATTCCTGATAGTTGCCTCTGGTAGGCGTGAACTCCATTTCCAAGTGGTGTCTAAAGGTGACTGTCGGTTTCCAAGACGTGCTTGGGGACATTTGAGATTTGTGGCAGCTGTCTCAATGTCTTCACGACACCCGCCAGACTTTAACGAGTGGCTGCTCTAGTGTCGCCTTTTTCCCCTGCATCCAAACGGCCACCATAGGCTTGTTAACAAACAGACGCCCCAACAAAGCACGGCCGCCCCAGACTTGACCTCATCGTAGTCAAGGTCACATGTGCAGGCAGTGCGTGTCTAGTGCGCATCGGCCAGCCTCGTGTTCCCCTGACTGGTCCGTTGTCCTGCCCAATCAGACATCCCACACACATTCCCGCATCCTGACACGAACAACGGCAAACGCATGTACACCACACTACTGCTACCTTGTTCACAGAACGGTTGCATGACAACACACCGCTTCAGACAAGCTCCCAGACGGACGCTTTTATCTCTTCACAGCAACTTGCCTTATGTACGAATAAATTAGTCCTAACATTTGACTGTCTTCTCCTACCAGACGGAATATTCATAGTGTAGTGGTTATAGTATATCACACATACTAGACCGCTACAGATCTGTGCCACCTGATCTCTCGTCTCGTTTGTACAGACACCTATTAACGAAGTTTTGCTGATAACTACATCAAACTGATTGCCAACTTTCGTTCCAATACTGAGAATTTATAGGGATTCATATATCGCGCTCAAACTACTGGTCACGAATGAGTTCGCCTAAAAACAATTTACCGTTTTACTAAACTGGGAAACTGAAGGTGGATGTTCGCAATAGGGGCGTTACCCAAATACTGCGAATTCAAAAGTGTGCATGCCGGTTTAAGCAAGCCGTCTCAGTATATCTATGCGATACATTTTCTGCAGAAATTGGTCAGCTTAAATCGACAAACTTGTTCTACGTTCAATTGATTTCTCATTCATAATTTTTATGTAAAACCTTTTGGGTAGTTCAGCCTTGAGTATCAGTGTCACCCGCTTCAAGTCTGTCATGCACAGATATCCCAATTAACGGTCCTTTCCTTTATTTCACTCCCCCCTCCCCCTAGAAACCTCAGATCGTCCAACTGATCGCTTGTCTAGCATTCAGATCACTACAAGCACTTCAGACAGCACCTGGGACACCACATTTGGTGTCGAGGTTGAATCAGGAACCCGGACAACCATGGACACTACGACAACCACCGAAAATTCTGCCAGTTCTGGTGGGAGATCTGAATCTCCCCACAACTGGATCCCCATCAAGGAGCACGAGTCCTTGTTTAGTACAATCTACGCACTCTTCACCAAGTTAGGTTTCGAGGGGCACCATGAGCTGAACGCGGAGGAACTCGTTACGAAGGCACTCATTGAAAATTTCCTTAACGTCAAGGTACCTGTCAGGAGGCCTTTGTTTTTTTAATTTAAAACTCGTGCCTACTGTTGTATTTGTCAGTAGGTCTTATATTTTAAATCTCATACATTCATCTTCAGGTGGACAATACAATGTGTGACCTGAGCATGGAGCTGGCCCGAGCGAATGTACGACCTGTGACCCCAGACCAGGACCTGCTTTGTCAGCTCTCAAAAGTCGCGGAGGACCGACGGCAGCAGCTGCGGCAAATGCAACTGGAGATAATTCAGGAGATGGCTGAGAGAGATATCGCTTCGGAAATGGAGTACTACTCTGTGGTCAGTAGTAATACTTTACTTGGGATTCCTAACACAGATTACTATATTAATAAAATTGTTTCAAATGAAATGTACTTTTCCAGGAGAGACGTAATACGGAGTTGTGTTTACTACTTTGGGTGTAGCCCAGAGAGCTGAGGCGTCGGGAGGAGATGGTCCAACGTCAACTGATTGACTTCATTGCCCGCACCTCGAACCACGCCTACCTTCGACTGGCCAAAGCCAAACAGGAGATCCACATAGCGAGGTCACGCTTCCGCAACTCCCCCGCGGACTCCGAGGCCAAGGCACAGGATGGGTCGCAGGCAGAGACCATATCAAGTGCAACTTCCAGTTCTGTCATCTCCACTCTGGACTTGGATGGGTGTCACAGGCTGAATATTCCCAAGCTGAACACCACGGTAAACATTTTAAGTCCCAAAATTTTAACGATTGAAAAATCTTCCTAAAAACAATTGGCCCTGGATCATTTGTCGCCAGGCGGATACATTAACATGGAGAATGAAACAATCGGCTATGTACAGCGCTTATGTGGTTTTCGTCGTGGGGGACGGGCGAGGGAAGGTACTTAGTTATCTCTTCCTTCCTTTGTCTGGTAGAGTCCAACAGAATAACAAGCAGATTACCTCAAGTATTAGGAGGGTTTGGCAGATTTGGATATTTCAGTTAACAATTCGGTTACTAATATGTAAGTACGCCTAGTAGTCATTGTGGTGGATTCCTGATGATTGCCTAGGAAATCCTGCCTGAGCAGTCAGCTTACTGTATCCGTATTGGTGGATTGCATACGCGCAGTAGGCTGGACGGGTAAATCAACCCAAGTGTGATTAAATTTGCGGCATTCGGCGTGCCTCATAGCTCAATTGGTAGAACGTTGGATGAATTTAAGCCTTCCCTGCTGATGTTGGTTTCAAATCCCACCAAAATCACAATATATTCACAATTTAGTCAACCGAATTGTTCAAATCTGTCGACTTCCACCGTAATAATTTTAGCTTAATTTCAGGAAGGCTGCCTATTCCTGTGCTCTAACACCAGCCTGAATCTTGATGCTTACCCTATCCTTTACCCTGGTTTTACCTTATTCCTAACCATATCACCAATCCTACGTTCAACCGTAACCTTAAATTCCCTGGAATTTATTACAGTGCTGTCCTATTTTCCAATTCTGCAAGAACAATATAAACTACTCCATCGTTTCTTTCAGCCGCCGAAGGCGTGTTGTCGACCCCTTTAATAGGGGTTCCCTTGCACTGAATTGCAGAATAGGGTCAATAGACTCTCGTACTAATAATAACGCTAAGCTTAACCGTAACTCTAATCTTAACCATATCTTAAACCTGAAAGTTTACCTTGCCACAAAGCCATTGCAAACTTTAAAATTTACATTAAATTCCCTGAAATTGCCCCCGATGCCACCTGCGATACCTTTCGACGCCTGTTGTGTGATTCACAATGAGAAATAATGAGTTTGAGTCTTGCCTCTCAGTAGCCTGATTATGCAAATGTGTTCAATTTTCGCCTAGTTTTCCAGATGTAGTTGCGGTCCCCATCATTGCATTGCATTTTGTAAAAAACTGCCGAAGTGTTGGTTGGGGCCAGTCTGTCTCTAGGTTGCATAACACGGCGACGAATTGTAACCGGGGCTATGCATAAATCGGCGGGTTGTCACAGTCAGGAGACTGCTTCGGTAACTGCCTTTAATTGTAGGGAATGGACTTCCGGACTTTGGGTTGCTGCTGCTTTGGCCGCTTGCTTTGCATGATTAATTGCCTTAGGTATCCATTAGCTCGGAAGAGGTCATATAAGTATTCCCGTTCAGTTCTTTTGTCAGCTACCATGCACCAATGTGTTTCAACTCTTTGGAAGAGAGTCCAGATACAGCTATCCTATTGTGAGACCTACGATAATTGCAGAAGTATTTGCCTTTGCGGCTGTTCCTGCGAGCAACTTTGGTGACAGCCCTTCGCGAAAAATCCTTTTTGCTTACCTTGGATAGCACAGGTATTAGCGAGCAGTTACAAGGACGTCGGACTGTAGAGCCCGAAGCAAGCAGAATGCGCAGATAAAAGAAATACTCGACAGCAGTGTAAGTCCACTGGCGATTTTTTGTCCTGACATCCGTTTACATTCGAACCCAGAGACTTTATAATAGGGTGCAAATAATTGCTAAAGACAGTTGTTGTGGTGTAAGTAATAGCCATACTGACAGCACAGACACAAACTAAAAGCCTGACACGCTTTTTTCATCAATCTATTCTACCACTGCAGCTCAAGTAAATAAGGAAAACCCCTGTCGCTGGGATCTACGAGCTCGGTTCCATAGGGGAAGGGATGAAGGGAGATGTCAGATGGGAGGAATACTGCATTTTCTGCAGAAGTAATAAAGAATAGGTTGGAGGAATTTGACGGGCTGACGAACGTGCTTCCGCATCCGAGAAGCGCGTCGGTCGAAGTGCAAAAGTGCAGCATTAGTCACATTGTGATGTCCTGTAGAAGTCAGTCTTAAAGGTGATTGGCCGGACCGGAATGCGGTTGTTAGATACTAGTGCGTACGTGCTACCAATAGCAAGGGGCGAGCGGTTGAACGTTGCGCACGGAGTTGGGCCACTACAGGGGTTATTATTGAGAGCTAGTTGCTGTCTCAGCACCCGAAGGATACCCAAATAACAAGTCTGGGAAGGCTGATTAAACTCGAACAACTTTATTGCTCAAAAGGCTGTACAGTGGTGCCGCGTACGATACCCAGCCGTGTAGTTTAAAGGGTGGGGATGTGATAAGTTTGGGCTGTGTTATGAGTAATCAATCGGCTGGCGCCAATCAAATGAGACAGGAATATCGATTAG